CTGAAGATCAGCATTCCCCGTGAATCAATCAAGCTTGTGAGCTTTGTTCTCCATCAACTTTTTTGCCTTATTCCCTTTCTGCTCGTTTGTATACCCGAGACACGCGGTTATAACTTATACCACCTTCCATTATTTACAGAATTATCGATCGGCTTCATGGACACTATTTTTAACTGCGATGTATTCACGCCAACTCTGTGTGGCTTCCTTGTTTTCTTCCCATTTATAAATGTAAATGTCTGACTACAATGAACAATGATTTATCACGGGATAAAAGCAAGTGCTTGACACGTCCCGTAGGATGGTTGAGGTGAATATGATGAAATCAAAATGTCTGGGTCATCTATCGAACGTCTGCCGAGATGAATAGTTTGATAAGTAACATCAGTGTAAAATTAAAATAAATTATCGAGCATAAACGTTCAGAAAGACACTGGGATGCAGTGAGCATTGAGGTAAAGAGGGTAAAAAGTAAAATATGGTCGCTCACTTGGGTCCATTTGATACACAAATCCTGTTGAAAAGCATGCTTGGTGTAATCCACAGTAGGGGAGTTTAGGTAACAAAATGTTGGGAGCTAAGAGCAACATCTAATCGTTTTTTGAAAACATCCAAGGTAGGAGAGGATACAACTGAGTCTGGGTGTGCGTTCCAAGGTTTGCAAACCCGAAGGGGAAAATAATTTCGTCGACACTCTAGACGGCTGTATTGTTGCTTCAACTTTAAGCAGTTACCCCTGAGCTGTGTGTTGTGGCTAAGTTTCAGCAAATGGCGGCATACGTGGTTGGGGTCACTCAATATTTGATACGCTAATATGAGATCGCCGCGCAGCCTTCGATAACGTCCGCTGAAAATTCCCAGCAACTTCAGCCTTCGGTGGTAAGAGTGATAGCGCAGGCCCTTTACATTCTTTGTTGCTCTCCGAAGAATGATATCTCTTTGCATGTCTCCCTCTAATCTCTAAATGGGCATAATACACGAATTTTGCATAGTATAATTTTTTTCGAGCTGGGCAATTTTGTTGCAGACGTTTCGTGGCCAAACTAGACAACATTCTCAGTGCGGCTATCAGGGTCCGATTCGCAGTCTCGTAAGCCACTACCAGATCCAAGTGACTATTGATCGTCCCCTGCTTTGAATGGCTCACGTCGAAGAATCAACCACAACCCGCTTCCACAAGCGCAACGGAAAGGAAAGCGATCGTCCTACCTTACATCCATGGAATTTCTGAGATGGCAGCGAGGCTTTTAATGACTCACAAGATCAGCGTTGCACATGAAGCAAGGGAAACCATTCGGAGTAAACTTTTCAGGGTATGGGACCAGTTGAGTAAAGGAGATACACCAGGTGTGATTTGCACATTTTGACAAGTACTATACGTACCAGACAGGGAGGAAACTTGGCACTAGAGTGCATGAACACAGTCTGGCCATCCGGCGCCATGATGAAATATCGTATAGATGGCGAAGGCCATCAGTTCGACCAGGGAAACGTCAAAATACTTGAAAGGCAAAGAACCGCAGAGCTCTTGAATTTATCGTGGCCTGGCATTCGGATCGGAACTCAATCAACAAATACCTGGAACTAGAAGGAGTTTACGAACCTCTGCAGGTGAGGTTAGCAATAAATACCAAATCGTCAGGGTGAAGGCCTGACCACTTAACGGACCCACGTGAGTCGATCGAAGACTGACATTCAAAGCAGGAGATGATCAATAGTCAGTCGGATCTGGTAATGACTTACGAGACCGCGAATCAGACCCTGCTAACAACACTGAGTATGTTGTCTAGCTTGGCAGCGAAACCTCTGCAACAAATTGCCCAGCTCGAAGAACATATCAGCCCTCTCATCTACAAGTATTCTTAATAATAATTTTTTGTGTGTATGGCATATTACCCGGCCGGAACAATGCCCATCCCTTACTGGTAGTTCTACTGGTGTGTATGTATTCCACTTTTTTCTTCTTTTATGTACTGCGGCACATTAGCCGTGTTTTCCCACATCCAACTAACGTGTATGATGATGATGATGAGGATGAGGATGATGAGGTGGATGATGATCGTGATGATTGCCACTGACAATCGCTAGTTCAGCTGATTCGACGGATCCGCTGCTAGCCTAATTCTTTTTAAGCTTACAATGCTTCCATTTGGGTGTACCTCCCGAAGTGCAAACAAATGTTCGTACGAACCTTTGCTTGATCCGAGTCAAGTTAAGTAGACTAAAATTATCTACAGTCCTCAATGCTACCCCCTCCACCTGCAACTGATTGCAATGTAATCTATTTGTGACCAGGCCTGCATTGGTGAAGGCCGCCTGCTGGCTGAACACCTCGAGTTGGTGCTTGCGAAAAATAAGCCATTCTCTTCAAACAAAGTGAGAAACTTAGCGCCGTTACCAGAGCGATTCTCGTGCAATGCGTTGATGGCTACTTATTTGCTATTCACCTGGCAGCAGGCGACCGACACGTGCATTGAAGTCCCCGGCGAGGACAACGACATCCGATTCGGCGGATTTGCACAAATGCCGTTGAAGTTGACAATAAAAATCGTCCTTGATAGCCTCATAGCCACAGTTGGTTGGCGCATAGGCCAAGCACGATCATGTTGCGCCATTAAGCGCAGCGCCTGTTAACTCTACATGAACTTTTAGGGCGAACTTCACAAAATCGGCTGTTAACTGGGAACCAGTCCTGCAGTGCGGCGTTGGCTTTGCTACTTGGTGCCACGCCCAACGCCTGCCAAATCAGCTGCAACAGCTTCTGTGTCGCCAGAAAGACGTAAGTGGTATGTGGCTTCCTGGTTCGTCGAGGAAGTCAACTTGAGCACAGTGCTCGGGTTTTGCAATCTAATTTCGGAAAGATATCAATAGCGAGCGAATCCATGGTGCGTGTTAGACCGACCTGCTATCCAATCTGCAACAGAGTTCCAGCATTGCACGTTGCCAGCCGAAACGAGAATAGGGGTCGAGGGATGACCTCCTGCCTGACTTTGTGGATGGCATCGAAACCGGTGTAGGGATTAAATTGAGAGTAACGCTGATTAATGACAGGTTAATGGTTGGCATGTGGTGGAGATTAGTGAGGGACAGCTGAGGGAGGAATGAGTGCGCCCGGGCACGATACTACCCGGTTACCCAAGCCGAAATAGGTTGTCTTGAGGATTTCGACTCTGAGGCTTTAGTTCTACAGCCTACCCGCGGGGCGAATTCAGGGAATCGCGTCCATTGGGAGCCGATGACCGGTTTCTCGGTTAATACGCCTTTCGTTTTCTAACACACCAGACAGGGGTCCAATCCTCCCTATAATAGCTTAAGACTGGCGACATACAATGCTCTACCAAGGTGAAGCAAGGGATAGTGACTTTATTTAGTAACGAGTCACATCCGCCAGTATATTGTTGTTATACAGACATTTATATCTTTTTATGGCAAGAACGCTTCCAGTCGAGAATACTGCAGCTAGCTCATTTGCTGGAACTGGGTCAATCCGAACCACCCAGCTGACACCACCTGGACCTTGTTCGGCTGGCAAGCTGCACCCTCCATACACTACTGAATAGTATTTAATCCAATCGTTTCGTCCAGTATGTATGTATGTATGTATTAACACTTGCCCAATAAACATTTGGCAGAGTGCCACAACACATAAGTAACAATAACAGAAAAGAGAGGGTGAGTAGGAGGAATGGGAGCAAAGTTCCATGTGTTGTGTGGGCGTTGAGCTTCCCGGTTGCCCAGACTGAAGAAGAGGGTTGACTTATGGGACCCCACCCGAGCCTTTGGTCTAAAAACTGACCCGCAAGGCAGCGGGGTGATTGACGAAGACCGTTGACAGCCAAGTGGCTCATTCGTCTCCTTTGTGTTCGGAAGTAGTTCACAGATAAGCCGGTGGCCAGCGAGGTTGTTCATCTGCCCTCCGTTAGATACTTACCCCCGGTTACAGGAGTGAGTGGTCAGTGACCCTATAGCCGGTCACATTGGCTTAGACACAGCGCCGTACGAGCACTTGTGGTACTTAATGGAGAACCATGTGACCAGCCCAGATCTCCCCACGCTCTGAGACTCTGCCACTGATTGTCTGCGACTGCTTATTCATCTCGCCTGCAAAGCAAACGAGACTTATTCGCAGTTACCTCCACAAAGAAGGCATCCCCCGATCCGTAACCTGGGGATGCGCCCGAAAGCGTACAGTTCCGCAACGGGCGTCCTGAGGCACTCTGTCGTGACAGAGCCTGGAAAGAACATTCTTCAGCCTTTTTTAAGGTAGACGTCCTTTTCAAACTACTCAAATGTCCCTAGCTGTCTGCTAGAATGCTGTCGAAACTGCCCCGTTTATTACCCAGCTTTCAAGGATGGACTCGGCCCATCCCTAATCGTGTATCAATGTGCTTGCATCTGTGATGGTTTAACATACCTCGGACGCATGACTAGACGATTAAACGCATAGCGGAACATTGCTCAACCGCGTTTTGGTTACACATGTCGCAATGTGTCAAGGTGTCATCTCTGGTAAAATATTTTGGACGGGACATTTGTTAGGCAGGTAGGGCACTTATCGTCACCGCTTGACCAGTTGTATGAGGTCGTTTTGATTGTATTCATCGTAACCCATTACGTTTCTTCTAAACTGTTGCTTATTCTTTTATACTGTGCACAACTGTCAAGTTCTTGATTTCCGTTCCAGGAAAGTGGCCTCACCAATGTAAGTACTGTGAGCAAACATTTTCTCTTATACGCATTCTCGGGATTCACGAGCAGTCTGCTCACCTGAGTGAGTAGATTGTTGAATGCATCGTTCCCGAACTATATGTTAGCAGTTTGGTAGCCTATTTCAGACGGGACACTTGATAATTAAGCAGGGTGCTATGCTTTACTTCTTGTTCGTCATCGTTTGATCGATTGAAGATCGTTCTAATTGTATTCGCCGCAGCGCATCATGTTTCCTCCGTAACATATTTTAATGTTTTTTGTAACTGTAAACCTCCTGTTTTCCGTTCCAGAAAAGCGGCCTCACAAATGCAACTACTGTGAAAAAACATTTCCTTTTATGACCAATCTCTGGCTCCACGAACAGCGTGTTCACCTGAGTGAGTAGTGTTGAATGCATCATTCGGCTTCAACCTTTTTACTTTGGTCGTATGGTAAAGACGGAATGTCCGGTTGGATATCTTAGAAAATGTACAGAACCAATGCTTTTATCCCATTCCCTCGTATTCACAGGATGTGTACTATCAGGCCACTTCTATATCAGGTAACGTGCGTCACAAACTGCTCCGATGCGGTTCGGCGATTTTTAATCGCCGTGCACGTAGAGGTTGCTCACCACTGTGATTTTCCGGAATTAAAAAAACTAATGAAGATCCTGGATTTTTGACCACCTATCCACGCTGGTCAGCTTGAAGTAACAAGGATTGACTAATTCTCATCGCATTTCGGAACCTCTAAGGTGAATTCCACAGACAACTGGACCTGGACAGCGAGCATAGCCTTGACAGAAGACATCTTTGTGTAACTGTATTATGCACGACTTTGTGAGCAGCGTCAAGTGAACTGCGAGCGGTCTAATTAAGTGCACTGTGGTCGATCTTAAAACGGGTCGTCCAACTGCAAGCATCATCTACCATTATCCAATACACTGGAATTTGGACGTGGGGTTGGATCTGGAGTTGTGTCCTGGGAGTTTTGTGAATTGCGCGCCCGGTGCTGATGAATATTGGAGGCATTAAGATCATTTTGGCGGACGAGAATCGGTGATGACAGTACCGAGAACGTTTCTCAGTCCCTTTTAAGAGAGATGCCTTGTTTGAGTTACTCCGTCGTCCGCGGTTGCCTGCTAGCATGTTGTTGTCTATACTGCCCCGTTTGTTACTTAGCTTTCAAGGGTTGAATCTCGGTCCACTCCGAATCGTGTATCAATTCGCTTGTAACTGTGGTGGTGTAAGATACCTCGAACACACGACTAAATGATTGGAGAAACGCATAGCGGAACATTGTGCTGTGGATGTGCAAAGATCTCTTAATCGCTCTGTTTAGGAACACCTAGCTCAATTCGTGAGACCAGATTTCTAGGTTGTGCCAGAACCCGGTTCGAAAAGACTCGGGAAACACCTACTAATGGCAACTGAGGCCTTTGCGTTCAGACTTATGCATCTCGAACTGTGCGGTGGTACAGACCATCCTCCTCCCTAATTTGGGCTTGAGCGCCCTGCACCTCGGTCTCAGGTGATGACTCAGTTGACCCCGTCACCCCATCGACCGGACTAACCGTTGTGTTTTGGGTACACGTGTGGTTGTGTGCGCGTGTGCCCGACTGTCGTCATCGATTGAGCTGACGAACAATGCAGCTTGTTTGGAGTCAACGAACTCTTGTCTAGCTCTGTAAGTCTATTGATGTGCCTCAACCGGTTTTATATGTGCAATGACCTCATAAGAAACGAGATTCTTCGCTGAATAGGGATGACCGAGGTTGTTACAGTAAGGTAGACCCACGTTGGAGGATCACGACTCCTCTTTGTGGAATATCTTATTAAACTTAGTGGATCAGCTCTTCACCGCAGGAGCACCGGTAGTTCCTCACAGGAAAAGCTGCTAAGTAGTTTAATGAAATGTTTGGTCATCCAAAAGCAGTGCAACGATGGCGGCATTCGTGAGCCAACTTGACTGAGATTTTTGCGCATGTGTCTAGCGATTATACCCTTACATGAAGGATGTACAGACTGTCTATTTTCCATGGCTGTGGGGATCGAAAATGTGAGTGCTGTCCTCCGAGTAGATCACCGGAATAACTTGAGGGATGAGGAAATTAGGTACTTAAACGCTCACGTCAACAATAGGGTTCCTTCTATGCGATTAGCCTGATTGGACTTTCTTCCATGAACATTGAATTTGGGGACAATGCAAAAGTTGGTCCTACCTGGTTCGCAATACCCGCATCAATTCGTCGTTGCCGGCAAATTGCTCACACTACTTCTCCTTTATTTCCCTCACTGTGAGATAACTGGAAAATAACAGTCGGAGATCCTCATTGCAATTCCTTCATCATCATTACAACTTTTGTCTACCACGATACAGGTGCCTCCTTCTAACAGGTGTTGCCCATATTTTCTTTGTGTGGTTCATCTTTCATTATTCACCTTTTTCAGAAGAGTAGTAGGGGGAGTTGAGTGTTAGAAGTAGAAATTCGTCACATTTAGACTCACTCCGACAGCCATCACGCCCAGAAAAGCACTTTACGCGGGTTTTATCCTTTCGGGAACCGTTATCAGTGCGCATTCCATCGGACCCTGGTAGGGCTCAAACCCGCAACTCGACTGTTGCCATTCCGTGGGGTTGCGACCACTAAGCTAGGGGGACGGAAACGACAATCGTGAATAACTTAATAGATGTGATAAAGTGCCGCTCCCTATCCACTGACTTGCACATTACTGCCGTGCAGAGGACAGGGTAGCCCCCTCACCAAGCGACGAACTTAAGCCGCCGATTAACTTATGGCATTGTAAGCAGTTTGGTCTGCGTACTGATTACAGAGGAGTAGTCCAGGGAGTTGAATGGTATAGGTAAAAATTCGTCACATCTAAACTCACCCACCTTTTGTCTACCGTTTCAGGTGAACGCCCTTATGCGTGTGACCACTGTGGTAAATCGTTTTCTATGAAGATCCATTTGCGAAGACATGTGGTTTTTGTTCATTTGGGTGAGTGTGTAACCGAAGGTTCCACCTGCGTCATGCCATCGTCGATGGTTTTCATTACATTTCATCCGAGTCAGCATTACGTTGTTTTCACGCTAATGCCATATGTTATTGTGCAAAAACCTTTCCATTTCTTATATCAGCTAGCTTGCAGTGGACCGACTGAGCGTCCTACGTCCTTTGGCTCCTATTTACTGGCCTCTGATGGAACGTTGTGTTCATATTTGTGTGGTTAGATACTGATAGATCGTCGACCCACAGCTGCCAATGTGAGGTGGATTAGAGTCCTGGCCACCACGTCCTTTAGACGGCTGCGTTGGATGAATTTGGAGTGCTGACTACACTTTTCTCGTCACGAGCACATCGTGTGGGTTAATTAATATTTCCGTAGATGGCACTGAGACTGCTTAATATCGGCCACACACATTGCACACACATTTGATTGGTCGGCTGCTAGATTGGTGGGAACGGCTTGCCTTCGAAACTGCAAAACAGACTCGAACAATGGGTCACATCTGATGTTCGGTCGAGTGATTCGGGCAGTTGCTCGGTTACTATGAACACCGGTAGTAAGTCGGACCATTTCAGTGTGAGTACTGTGCAAACTATATTTATATATTTATATGGTTGGCGGCATCCGGTTTCAGATTTGCCTGTCAATGTGGCCAGCCACAGGACGCCTGCGCCTACAGAGGGACCATGGATGGCTTGCGCTACACCACCCACAGCTCCAACCACACTCCACATATCCAGTGTAAACCCGAAGGAATAAGACCGGGAGGCATGTGGATGGGAGCCACGTTTCATCAACGGAGCCGGCCCACACTCCTTCACTTGCAAACACAAGCACGCTGTATTTGGGAATCAAGCGCACACAATGCGGTGGCTGGACCGTAGTCCGCTCCACCCTGAGTGCATGGAACCATTGTTTGATCCTAACACGGCCACAAGGACCGTGCATCCCGTCCCCTCCAACAATGACCAACTGTCTCCTGGAGCCAGTATGGACGAGGTAGTGGGTAATAGACAGGTAGGCACCTTGTCAACATGCACATCAAGCGCAGCCATACCGGGGATATCAAGCAACAGCCAATCACTTGAAACGACAAGATGAAATAAAATAAATCGAGTAATGCATAAGGAAACGGTGACATAAATCTTAAATTAATGAGCATATGAAATAAGTTGTTTACAAAAGAATCTGAGATCAGTTCACGAGGTCAGAAAGTATATTTTACGAAAATGCCACAAACACAAAAATGTTATCGAAATTAATCACAATTGGCTGAAGCGAGGTGTGCAAGTTTATAAAAGTGGGTACAGGTTGACATTTATATGAAAAAGAAAAGCATTAGGACAAAATTGAAATCCCACCACCTGAAATAAAGAGACTTAGCGTGCAAGCACGCGGTTAGTAAATCGAATGCGGCGTACCTACAAACGCTGCGCTGGTTCTGCCTACGTTCTCTGCAGGACCCGTCGTCGCTTCGGTAGTGGTCCCGAGTGGCCTCGCTCATGGCTCACTAGGCCTGCCTGACTCCGGCACTCGCGACAGCATGTGCTACAGCACCATGCGCTCGATGCCGATGGAGTACAACCTATCGGTGCTTGCCAATTCCGCACTTGCCACTTCTTCTCTGCAAATATGAGGTCTTTCTCCCGCACTTCATCAACTGCCTTCGTGATAAGATGGCGCCACGCACCACGATCAACTGCCTTCTATTCCCATGACTTGCAATCAAGATTGGAACGTGAGAGACTCACTTTGATCATGTCCTGGTAACGCAACTTTGGTTTCCCCACGTGCCGCTTCCCAATACTCAGCTGACCATGTAAGAGTTGTTTCGTTATCCGCGTTGAATCAATACGGCTCACATGACCGAGGCACCTCAGGTGTCTCAGCAAAAGCATGCAGTCCACTGCATATATTCCAGTTCGGCGCAAACACTTCCGTGTCACAACTGTGTCACAAAAACCAGTGCGCAAAATTCGCCGCAAGCACTGTTGATGGAACCGCTCGAGACATCGCACATCCCGCCGGTACATCGTCCAGGTTTCAGGGCCGTATAGAAGCACGGTCAGCACCATGGATTTGCACACCATCAGCTTCATGCCAATGGTAAGCTGATTGTGGTTCCACACTCGGTACTCAAGCTTCCCGAATGCCGCCGTGGCCTTCGAGACGCGGATACGCAGCTCACTGTGTAGCTGCTGGTCAGTCGACATCACACTCCCAAGGTAGCAGACGTGGGAGGTGGTTATCAACACTTCAGCACCAATGCTGATTCGCGGTAATCTTGAAGATTGCACCTCCGGTGAAGTCTGAAAGAGACAGACAGTTTTGCTTGTGTTGATAGTGAGCCTGACTTTGGTCGCTGTCGAAGGCAGAGCACTAATCCTGTGCCGGAAATCATCTGCGCTGTATGCAAACAGCGACAGTCGTCAGCAACCTACGGATAGTTGTCTCACAGACTAGAGTTCTAGCACCGAAACGACGGATGTTCAGCAACCCACCATCAATACGGTGCTCCACACGAACACCGTAAGCACAAGCCGCATCAAAATCACAAGACATCATTGCGTTAAATTTTTGTATTAAATAGGTAAGGAGCTAAGACACAGCTTTGCTTCATACCAGAGATAACTGCAAAGTCATCCGAGATCTCTCCACTCAGCTGCACCCACGCCCGCATACCACTGTTCAGACATTCAATTAAACTTACAAACTTACGCGGGCAACCAAATTGACCCAACACCAGCCACAATATCTCGCGGTTCACCGTATCAAATGCCTTGGTGAAATCAACAAAAAGCGAGTACAATGACTGATGTCGTTCTCTGCACTTCTCCTGCAAATGACGAGCCGCAAACACTATTTCTATAGTGCTGCGATCCGAACGGAATCCACATTGCTCTTCCGCCATGTTAGGTTCCACAACCTGACTGACGAGGCGGTTGAGCAGGATTCGGGCAATCACCTTACCCACACAACTCATCAAGTTGGTGGCACAGTAAATCGTGCAACACTGCTTTGCTCCCTTTGCCCTTGTACAGTGGTAGCCCAAGAGCATCCTTCAGCTCAGGATGCACTTCCGCCTCAATCCACACGCGTTGTGCGAAGTGGAGCGGCGCGGGTCCGCTGTGTTGCAATACTTCAGGCGGGATCCCGTCTGCTCCAGCAAATTTGCGGTTTCGCTGCTGAGCAAGTGCTCTCTGCGTCTCATCCATTGTCAGCGTGTCTGATAGACTCGTCTTCACATCGTGCTGCGTGAGGCCGTTCAAAGTAGGCTAGTCGATTTCTGCACGGTTGTCCATGAGACAGTCGAAGTGTTTCCGTCAGATCTGCATTATGTCTGCAATCTCTGTGCAGGTAGCGCCTGAACTATCATCGATCAGCGGCTCCGATGGCCGTCCATACACCGCTTTCAAGGAGTCAAGTAATTCTTTGTGTTGGCGGCGTTCGGCGTAGCATTCCATCTGCCTCGCTTTGTCCGTCCACCATGCATTTTTAATGCGACGGAGCTCTCGGGTCAGTCGCCGTCGAACTTTGCGAAACTGACTCTTCTTCCCCAAGTCACTGGGGTCTGCCACATATGCAGCAAATGTTGCATTCTTCTCTGACACCCATGCGCCAGTTGTCGCATTGTTCACATCAAACCAATCAGGCCGCTTACAGTTTGCGCGCTCGATGGTCTCCTCGGCAGCAGCTGTCACCTGGTCGCGAATGTGGTGCAACAAGCCGCCCACTGTGGTTACGCAGTCCACATCACACGGGCGTGCAGCCATCACCTTCTCCAGCTCAGTACGTTTCTCCGCAGTACCGAGGGAATGTTAAATTTACGCCAATTTACTTCTGGAGTGCAATACAGGTTTACGAAAATATATGTACAGTTTGGTCCGCACCAATTTGTGATCAGTGCCACACTCAGCTCTACGCAATACAGGTGTCATGCGCACTTCGCGCATATCTCGCTGATGTACTATGACATTGTCTAGCAGGTGGGCGTGAGAACTCCGTGGGTGCTTCCAAGTTGTTATTTCACTCGCACATAGTGCATACCGTGTGTTCGTGCTCGCCAAGCGGTGAGTGACACACGGTGACAGCAGCCTGTCACCGTTCGCATTCGCCGAACCAATGCCATGCGAAACGATAACATCTGTCCACACCGATGCATCACGCCCAACGCGCGCGTTGAAATCACCCAGCAGAAATAGTCGGTCGCTCCTCGGCACAGACCGTATCACGGAGGATAGCTGAGTGTAGAATTGATCACGCGTGTCATCAGGATAACACACGTACTTATAAAAGTGGCAAACTTACCTCTTCCGAGTCGTAGGCGAACAGTCATCAGTCGCGCGCTGATGCCTGTTTGTTCACCCACCAGCTGGCCATGGAGGCGATCGGATATTGCAAATCCGACCCTATGATCACGTGGTGCTGAGGCGGCGTTTCCCACCCAGTAGAATGTGTAGCCAGCACCTGCTTCATGCAACTTACCTTGCTCAGCGAGCCAAGTTTCACTGAGCGCCGCAATATCGATGTGGTAACGCGCCAGCTCAATCGCAACCAGTACAGTGCGTCGCTCGGGGCGCTCACTGGAGTTCCGGTCCGGTAGTGTACGCACGTTCCAGCACCCGATGCTGAGTGCTTTGCGCGCAGGCCTACGATTGCATTGGTGGGCAATCGCATGCGAGGTGGTCGTTGTGCTTCGGTGATCTGCTTAAGAGACTCCGCCCGGAGCCTTTGGCTCAATAACCTGACCCACAAGGCTGTGGGGAGCAGATCCAGCTCGGAAATGTGTTTGCAGAGACAGATTGGGATCGGCTTGACGGCCGTCACACGCAGCCTTGGAGGTACTGGAACGATTTATATATGTTTTGCGACCGTAGTAGGATACACCTGCGACCACGGCTAGACGCAGGTGGGTTTTGGCGGGTTTGCACCAATTTGACCAGGGGCTGCCTGGCTTGAGGCGGGCAGTAGCAAACCATTGAACACCCGG